CTCAGCTCTTGCAGTCACATCCTCCTTGCTGTCCTTGTTAGGGGTAGGCAATAATTCTAGGCAGCACTGAAAGTTAGTAGTAAAGGCACCTCTCTCCCAAAAGCCAAAAAGGTCATTTTGATTCCTCTCACTGTCTATACCCTCTGGAGTGGACCAGAGGGAACCTTTATTCCTTTTTTAACTCTGTATCTGAGTTGCATAGACAGACGCAATGACAATAAAGGGGAAAACATGCAGAGCTGCATTACAAACTAATTCATCAGGAAACAGAGCACGCCTGCCTTACAGATTTGCCTGCAGCTCGTCTGCTGTGTTATTTTTAAACTGCCTGCAGGTTGCAGATTTTTCAGTGGTCCTTCTCCAACCAGTGTACGCAGAGGATATGGCAAGGCACAACTTCTGTTACCATCAATTTAAGTTACCAAAATCCCCAGCATATTAAAATTCAGCACCTTTCATCTTCCCATAAACTCCTTGCTGCAATTCGCGTATTCACACAAGGGTATCCCAAATCTCTTAAAGCCTCCCTCCATGGCAAGGACAGTATAACTCTGCTCTGTATCCCTGATGTTCCCAACTGACATACGTCAGCCTGCAGAGAGCAGCCTGCAGTTGCTATAATCAGCAACCGAGGCATCAAGGCTCTTGGTCATCATGAACAACCCAAGAAAAAAGACCCAACTGACTGAACCCAGTGCTCAAGTTCACCAGTTGTGATCACTCAGACATGATCACCTCAGCACCAAGACCATCTGCTGTACAAATGAAGGCTGTGTGCAGGCATAAGGCACTCTTCCATCACACATCCAGGACACAAACTTCACAGCACACCTGCCCCACTACTGAGTGGGGTGGGACTGGACAGAACAGCCAGAATCTGACATCTGTATATGGAAGAGCTTCTGTATGCAGAAAAACTTCACAATGCATGCACAATTCCTATAGAGCAGGCACTAACAGGAAGGGAAGTCTATTTATGTCACCACAGTATTTTAAAGAAACAAGCAATTTTTCAGAAACACTGATCACCACAACTGCTCCTGATGTAAACAAGAAGCTGCAGATGCACAGACTTTCTGAGGGGTCATACCCTGCAGCCAAATGTAATGAATATTATGGTTTGTTTCCTTCTTCTTTGTTGCCTGGTTTATTCTGGAGCTCAGAGCAGTACTGCAGAGCAATATCCATCAGCTCAGAACCTCTCTCCTCATCTGCTTTGGGATATCTCAGACATCAAACCACTCACACTCTTAGCCATTGTTAGGAGCTCTAGAAATTACCCCATTAGCTGTAAGAAGCACTTGCCCAGCATTTTCAGCAGGGGCACAGCCACATTCGTTTCCACCCCTTTGACACACACAGAGCAGATGACAACTGCATGATAGATGAGGAGTTTTGTTTGGAGCTGGAGCTCCAGCACAGAAGCCTTTGGCCTCTAGGATACAGCAGGGACATGAAAGTAATTCCAATATAAACAGCCACCAAGCTTCAGCTAGAGCAAAATCCTCTGGCCCCACAGGGCTTGCAACTGTCTCCATGTGGGACAGCGTGGGACCAACTCTGTCTCAGCACTGATGGCCAAGCAGAGCCTGGCCTCCCTGCGTTGGGTAGGGTGAGGTTGCTGTGCTGTGGGTTAAGCCTGTGCTTGCTTGACCCTGTATAATGACTGTCCCTCTTCCTTCTCCATTTACACAGCTGGTGAAGCTACTGCTCATTTCTCCCTGCTGATTTGGAGAGTCTTCATTTGGCTCTTGGCTGTTTACATTTTGCAGACATCATCTATGTGATTGCATGGCCTGGCCCCAGGCTGCCAGGCTCTGGGAGGAATAACTGCAGTATTGCACAGAGCAGTTACCATCATTAAAATACTGACTGCAGATTACCAAAATGCGCTGAATATTTCACAGAGTGGTTGGAGGGTTGGCAAGTCTTGGCAGCTTGTTGGCTGCAGAAACTGGCTGATATTTAGGCACTCCTTCTTCATTGCTGTACGTGGGAACTGCTTTTTGTGCTGTCAACTTCTTATCTCCCAAGCAGCCAACCCACAACCAAGAAAAAAATAATGAACTGACTGGAAATGAGGAGCTCCAAAGGCTTTCTTGTGATTCTTATTGCCAGTGAGACCACTTCCTTGTTATTTATGACTTCAGGACGTCTGTCTTACTGAGTCTCTATCTATTTTTATTTGTGTCCATCTCTCCAAATGCACAGTGTAGGAACTGCATATGGTGAGAATATACCAGGTGATAAAACCATTTGCTAAAGAACTGTTTGTACCATATGAGAAGCACTAATAAAGTTTAAAAACCCAAGAAAACCTCCACTGGAACATTTGTTTTAGCTACTATTCCTTCTTTGACATTTGATTTCTATCTGTATGTCATCTGTAACCAAAGTCTAAGGCATAAAATCCTTACATTTCCACAACCAAGAGGGCAGAAGGGGATGGAAGAAACCTAGTTGGCAGGGCTGGTAGAAACTACAGAAGCACTGATCACTACAGAGCACGCAGGGAATTCTTAGTGCCCTTTCAGTATCTCCCCATTCTCTTTCTTAGGAGAGTATCTGTGATAATAAAGTGCTAGAGACATACAGGTTTGGGATTGAATGGCTTCCTGGTTCTGTCTACATCCCCTGCTATCTGGCCAAAAAGGTTAAATGATCTCATGCTACCAGTGTTAAACAAAACATGTGTATGATGCCTAAACCACTTTGCAGACACCTATATACTGAATGAAATGCAGTAGATCAGTAACTTGCCATGGTACCGCTTTAAATCAGCTTTAATCTTCACTTCTTGATTTAATCTTCACTTACATGCTTGAGAAATTCCTGGAATGGTAGGAAGTGTTTGAGCAGCAGTGCAGCCTCACAGCAAGGGCGGCTGGGATGGCTGAGCTGAGACTGTCCTACTCCACTGTAGCTTCCAGGGACAAGGGTCTGATTTACAGTTTGATCTAGAGCTCTTTTGAGACAAGCTAATTTTGTGAACATTTCCATTCCCACTCAAGGGGTGTCACAAGAAATGGCCAAATGCTATTTTCTGAGGCTTCTATTACAGCTTGAAAGTAATCATAATAGCAAATTAATAGCAGATCTACTCTGCCATTTTCCATTCTCATTGCCATCTCTGGAAATCAAGAGTAGCTCTATTTCTTCAAAGCTTATTTCTGCAGTACTTCTCATTTCTGAACACGCAGTTAGGAAAAGAGTGTGGTATCTTGGCATTCCAGCTGTGGTCTGTAGGATACTGCCCTTCTGTGCTGGGCTCATTGCTAGTTTCTGCTCTCTATATTGACCTCCAAACCATAAATCGTAAATATCACCTTGGGTAGACATCATTCTTTCAAAAGCAAAACTATATTTTTACCTACATTTTAAATCTCTTTTAAAGTAAACCCAGGGATAAACTCTGTGGAATGAGGCAAAAGATGCTCTAAACTCAGTACATTGAAAGAGAAATTCACTGGGCAGGCACAATGCAGGGAGGGAACTGGTACAGACTTTTCTCTGTTCTGATGGTTCACATGGCCAAGTTTTTAGTTTGTCTCCACTGAATGATTCATCTCTATTATCAGCATTTTCAAAATTAAATGGAAGAGAAGGAATGTTTTCATTCCCCTGCTGTGTTTAATAATCTTCCAAAAATTGTTTCCTGTTTACTTGGAAATCCCCACCTCCATGCTGCAATTTAAGCATTTTCACCCTGATCACTTAAAAACAAAGCCTAGAAGATGCTGTACAGTTTTTATCTTGCAATCATATAGCAATTTGTGATATATGCTGTTGTTCCAGAGAGAAATTACTTGGAAATGTACACGTACATAGCTCCACATTGCTCATTTAAGTCGCAACTGATTGTGGAAAAAACACAAATTGCCATTGAGATTTTATTCATGTAGCATGTCTGATGCCTGATGGAAGCTTCTCTTGTAACAATCACTGTGCTGCTCAAATACGAATCTCAGTAGAGACATCAATAACCCCATTTATGGAACTGTGCTACTTTCTTTCATGGTACTGGCTCGCACACAACTGTGAATAGTCACTTGCATTGTTTTGTGCAAGAAAAACTTACAGTGTATTTTCAAGACAAAATATTAAGAACACTTAAATTGCTTTTCCAGTTGAAACATCATCTCTGAATTCCTGTGGGTTGGCTGGAAAAAAAGGGAAAGAATTTTCCCTTTAGCTTCCTCAAGGAATAAATTTGCACAACAGTTCTAAGATTTTACTTACGTACCATGTATCAAATGGACTATTCTTATATAGAAGATTTGCATTAGCTCACACCAGTCAGTGTGCTCTGTGTTAGCTTATGTGAAAAAAGTTCATTTAAAAGGCAGTGATATCCTGTGTACTGAGAGCAGAACCAGAAGCTGGGAATCCAGAAGGGACCTGAGCTTTCTCACACTTGCTCTCAGCTTTGCAGAAAGGTCTAAATTTTTCTAAATGAACATTACATTTACATGATTAACTGGAGGCCACATGGGCCTGATTTACAGATGCGTTAAATTTCTATTGCTTCTATTAAAGCTGTTGGGAGCTCTCAGCTCTCCACATTTCAGAAAGCTGTAATGCAGTTACACACAGCCCTTGGGAGGGAGAGTACCAGGCATGGGCAAAACGAGGAAAGCGATGGAATAAAGCACAGGGTGTACAAATTCAGCACATGCTCTTCTCTATGGGCCTGATCAATCCACAGGGGATGGCAGCAGTGGAGATACTGAAACATTTGGCATCCAGACAGGTACTGTGCAAGGGCTGAGTCAAGAGAGCAGATGGTAGGAAGCACCAGGCTGGCACAGTGATGTTGAACACCTCTCAGCCTGGCCACTGGCTCCAGCAATGCAGAGGCTTTCAGACTCTTGCACTGCTTATCTCGGTGACTAGACTGGATGCTTGGTAGCTGGTGAGGCTCTATTTGCCTTCCCTTTTTAAGTCTATGCTGATGGTCTTTGTCTAACAGCTGGCTTTCCTCTCTTCCCCTCTCAGATGAGATGGAGCAGTCCCCTGCAATGCGTTCTGACTACTTGGTCTCAGGGATTCGAACTCCACCAGTGAGGAGGAACAGCAAACTGGCAACACTGGGCAGGATCTTCAAACCATGGAAGTGGCGGAAAAAGAAAAATGAGAAGCTAAAGCAGACATCTGCAGGTAGGGTGAGAACAGGAGAGTGATTCTGCACCCAGCAAAAACTAGCTTGGGTGAGATTTGCTTACCCAGGAAATGTTAATAGTGACTTAACCTAAACCTAATTCACAGATTTCAGCATGCTACAGATTAGTAATGTTTAAGGCTAGAGAGTCCATATAGGCTGACTTCCTATATAATACTATATAGTACATTTAGAAGAAAAGCTCACAATATGAGAGTGAAGCCCAAGCCTCAACACAGGCTGCTTTCCATGGGCTGTCCTTTCACCAAAATAGGCTACATTTATGGCCTCAAGCATCATCACCCCTTTTATTTGAGGTAATATATAGGTCACAGTAACATTATGAAAAGTGACAGGAGGGAGCTACAGCATGTGAAATACCTTCCCTCAAGCAGTTGTCTCTGTGGTGAAGGAGTCATGCACACAGCACTGCATTCTCTCACTAGTCTCCAGGGATGTCCCAGGACATCAGGAAGGAGACAAACTCTTGCCTTTTCCTAAGGTAGGATGGTGCAATTCCCTCCACTTGCCCCAATATCCTCTGGAGTGTTACAATAAAGGGCACTGCTTCCTGATGCAGCTCCAACGTCCCATATTAAACAGTATGAAGGCTCTAATATCCCCATTACTCTGCACTCAATGTGATCAGATAGTGGGTTAGATCACAAATCCCAGCTCTGCATGTATGTGATTTTACAGCTGTTTTAACAAAGGAAAATGCACAAACAGGCTGGTCAGTCCATGCTCCTCAAAACAAAATCCTTGCTTTTTTCCAAGCACACAGTAGTTGAGACTAGAGAGAATTTCCACTTTGCATCTTTCTCACTCCATTATATAAGTAGTCTGTTGTTAACTGGTGCTGTGTTATGCTACTACTTTGTGCAGTGCTGGAGAAGAAGACAGCACGACAAGGTCGGGATGAGCTCATTAAGAAAGGCCTTCTGGAGATGATGGAACAAGGTAAGTAAAACTTCTTCATCTTTTTTATTGGAGTCTTTTTCAGGAAACATAGTTGCAAAAGAAAAACCTTCAATCTGAACAGAGAGGAACATTTAGTATCCAAGTTAAGCATGTCTGTCTTCCAATGCCTCCCTGCTGCAATCTATCCATTTAGTTTATTTTTTGATGGTTTACCATCTTGAATGCAACGCCATCTTTGCCTGATTTATACATGTTGCAAGCTGAGCTGATATGTGTTTTATGCTAAATCCTACTGCTAAGAAAGTCAGCTAAAGCTGGTATAAATATAAACTTAAACATACAGATGCATTCAGCTAACGTGTACAACTCATGAATCCTAATCTCAAAATGATACTAATCTGATGTTTTCAGCTGTATTTCTGGTAAACCAGGTCTGTGACAAAACATATTACCATTCTGCCTGGTTTTCATTCACATGGAAGCATTTTGAAGTGTCATTTTAAAGCTTTCCTGAGTACAAACCAGTTTGAGCAGAAGTCACCGAATGAAAGATGATAAAGTGTCAGAAACAGGCACAAAGGGCTGTGGTTCTGTATACCCCTGCCCCACAGCCCTGACAGGTGCTCAAGAGAGGCAGAGGTCTGGGTGAATATTCTGCAAGGTCAAGCAAGCTACCAGTGCTATGGACAACATCCCAACTGCCATTTCCACCCAAACAGAGATGGAGAAATACAGTAAAAATTCCCTCTTTACTTTGGAAACTTCATAGCAGTCTCTGTCATAGAGAAAGACTGGTCTTCTGTGTTTGACCAATCTGATAGATAGAAATTATGTTCTTTGAAACTAATAATTGAGTTTCTTTGTATAAAACAAATGCCATGCCTATAAATAGCCTGGGGGACAATACTCAGTGATGCTATGCTGGAGTGTAACCGAGCAACTGAAGTGTCAGAAAAAGAACATTTGAAACAGGATTTTTTTCATTACCATAAAGCAAATTTTGTATTGGCTTATTGGAGATATTTTAATATTAGGTTTATGTTCAAATTGAAAAAAATAAAAAATCTATTAAACCATCATCTTGTTTTAAAATGGAAGTTTTCAGAAAGCTCATTTTTAATTCCTGTCCATTGAACTCTTTGCATCTCTCATATTTCTAGATAACTGTTTGCCTTGTTAGCACATAAGCACTATTGAATAGAAAAATACACCCCATTTCTGATAGAAGTATGCAAGTTCCCCATATTCCATTAGTTTGAAGACATGCCTATCTAGAGCTTTGCAAAAGAACATTAAAATAAAACTCCATAGAGCACTGACTCAATAAACCTCTTGCCTGCCTAAAGATCTGGGAGGAAAACAGATGGTCCTAAGTTGCAAGATCATTTTAACAAAATTTAAATAGTTTAAATAAATACATATAGTCCAGTGAGGAGTGATGACAAGCTGTGCTTTTAAAAAAGGCATTTGCAAACAGACTGCTTTACCTGCCTGCAATAAAGTTGCATAGAGCTCCTGTAAACATCAAACCTTTTGAGTACCACCCTGCTGCCTAGAAAGGAAAGAATGGCCAACAGCCAGCTGAAGGACACTGCAGCCATCTGCAAGTTGTTTTTCTTGAGTGTTGTGAATCTCCAGGGTTATTTTATTATATTATTAGTAGAAGCAGCTTATTAACTGGAATAAAAAATTGACCCACATAATTCTCAGTAAATGATTAGTGCCCTACTTGGACTGAGCTGAAGTGGCAGCAGTTTCAAGGCTAAATCCTCATTTTACAGTAAGTTGCAACTGTCAAGGCAGCAATGCTATGCTAGAAGACTACAGTAAAACCCTAAAATCCCTCTGTTTCACCAGGTTCTACTCCACTTCCAAGCACCTGATTCCTGAAAAAAAGTCCAAAACTGGGATGCAGCTGTAGTCCAAGAAACCTCCAGAACAGCTTCATGCATTTACAACAGCTGGGTCACACTCCAGTTCATAGCACAGGGTCTGTCAAGCAGCATTTTGAGCTGAACCGTTTGGCTCAGAGCAAACCAGAAAGTTAGTGCAGACTCTGCACCAATCTGCGAGCAGCCCAGGGTGAAACTGCAGCGTCCTTGCTTTGGTGATGAGTCATCTGGACAGGTCACATCACCCTTTCTCCTCACCCAACCCTGACGCCTGGCTGCTCAGACACACCACATAGGCACAGCCTGGACCCTCCTGTCCTCTCCAGCTCTGCTCACATGGGGCAAATGCCAACCTGCCCCTTGAAAACTCCTGAACCTGAAACACAGCTTCACTCTAGGGAACCAACTTGCACTCTAAGACGTTACAGGGTTCAGGGCTTGGCATATCATGGGATTCATTCCCAACAAAATTACAGCTCTACTTGTTCTGGTTACTTTGCAATACTCAAGACACTGCTGCTTTACTTACCAGTGGATCTAAGGTCTGTGCTTTCTTCTGTCCCCAGACAACCTCTAAAACATCATTTTCGGACCCACTGCCAACCCAGCACACACCCACTTTGATCTAAGCACAAGCTGATCATTTCTGAGCAGCAGCATCACTGTTGTGAGTCTCAGATGCTCCTCAACATAAATTCTTGAACAAGGCTGGTTTTCGCCTGTCATTACTTCATTAGTCAATACACTTTCCATTTTCCATTGGAACTTGTATCTCAGACTGCAGTTTCGCTGTGGCTCTGCTGCCAGTAGCTTGCCCTTCCAAGGATGTGAGCAACCTGCAAAGTAGTTACCTTGAAAACATTTAGGGAGCTTCCCCCAGTATTTCTCCCCATTGTGAGCACTAAACTAGTCAGATGTAGCTGAGAGATAAGGGCTGCCTGTCAAATAGTGCAGGCAGCTGTTAATACACCGATGATTATCTATAGGCTGCCTTCACAATGAGCTGAAATGTAGGCAATGAACTTTTTCCCCCTCCCCTTCACTGTATCATAGCAACTGTGCTACTGCAAGGGCTATTTTAAGAACAGTAACTTTTCACCAAACGTGATTATGAGGCAGACTGAGTGAGCTCAGCGTACAAAAATACTGCAGCCCTTCCGCAGCATCTCTGGGCCAAAATCTGATTCCCTTACCCCAAAGCCCAATAAATTACCCCACAGATTGTCCAAATGGTATTAAAAAGGGGTAGCTATGCATGCTAGCTATTTTAAATCAATGTTTAAGAAACTTGTCATGATATCATTGCAAGAAAACATAGCCCTGTCAGGAGCTTCCAGAAAGGAGTGTCTAGGGCTGAGAAATACAAGTGAGGAGGTCAGGGGTGGACAGCAGACACGTCCATCAGCACGACGCCTGGCTACAGTGGGAAGTAATTGCTTGCTTTGGTTTGCAGCAGTGATGTAGATCTTGTAAATTCTGGGAGAGTCATGAATTAAAGGACAGTTTGTATTCTGAGGAGTCTTGCCTGAATAGGAGAATACTAGAAAAGCTTCAGTCATCAAGATGCGTACAGCTGCAGGGATCACTGGCACAAAAATCTTTCTGAGTAAGCAAAGGGAGCAGTTTCTAGGTCTGCACGAAAAGGGATTTGAATTTCTGATCAGCTCAGTCACACAGGACATGATTTTCAAAGCTGAGTAACTAAAACTATGTTCAAAACCTACAGCTTGGTAGGGAATATTAGCAGCCTCGTCTCTGCTAAGGCTCCAGCATTACTGCTGGGGCAGCTGCCTGGCACTGTGTCATGCACAGAGCCTGACACCAGTCTGACACATCAGACCAACCTGGGACCACACTGCACCATGAGCTTTGCTCGTGCAAGGAATTCCCTTCTCCCAGAGACCTCTGGTTCCCCATGCTCGTGCTCATCTTCCACTTAGCAGGTGCTTCCAGAGCACAGTGGCCCAGGCTGCTGAATGCCCACAGAAAAAAGTGTCCTGTTGAGAAAATTGTATGGATATTAGCATCCAGATGGGCCTGTCTCCACAAGTTTTGCATTACATGTGCTTATTAACACTGTTAGAGATCAGATGCTGCTCTAAGACAAATCTCAGTTCCCCGAGCACTAGCAGCTTTGAGACTTGCCGCAAATGGACAACAGGGAGTTTCAGCCTTCACTTCTCATGGTTTAGTTAAGATTAAATGATTTGGTGTTTTAGATACTGAAGGCAAAGCCTGCACTGGTGATGATGCCACGAGAGCAACGCAGAGTGACCCTCCAGCTCCTGCATGCCAGGCACTTGCCTCCGAAGAGGTGCAGCAAGAGAGTACAGCAACAGCCACCACGGCTGTGCCCTTGTTTGGTGAGGAGCTGCATCTGGATGAGCTGAAAGAAGATGCAGGTATTGGATAAGAAATGTCTTCAAAAAACTATGAAATATTTAAAAAATAGTTCTGCTAAGTTGCTTTACAAGGAGTCAAATACATTAGTTCATTAAAGGCTCAGGGCACCTGGTTCAGCTCAGCTCATATGAGGTTATCAATCAGTACTTAAAACTGGTGATTTGAGACTGCTACCAAACTGAGGTCCACACAAAGCTTGCCATAATGAGATTTATTTGATTATGAGACAGTCCAGTCTTGGCATGGTGCCCCTTTGGTATTAGCAGTGACTGCTGAGAAGATGAAACAAGCTTCTCAAAAACATTTCTTAAATTTTTGTGCCAAGCCTGAAATGGTTTGTCCTGACTTGTGAGAACAATGTCAATACACAGCTCACGCTGTCCATACCATCACCCTGTCTACAACATGCAGCAAATAAAAATGAAGTTCAATACCAGGAGCACAGGTAAGCTAACCAAAGCTCCTTTCATGCAACTGTGCTCCAGCAGAGCTCATCCATGACAGCAGTTCCTTAGGACCAGAGCAGCCAGGCACCATCCAACAGCTGAAGGGTTTCCATTCTCTTCCTGACAACCAAGAAATGCAAAGCTGCAGATGTAATATTTAATCCTAGTTTGTGAGGAGTGCCATGTAGTGATTATAGATCTTCCTGCCCTCTGGTCAGTCTTTACACCATCTCCATCTGCTCTGGTTGCCTTTTGTTCTCCAAACCACCCCCCATGCCCTGCTTTCTTCGGGGTCCCCTTACTTTCACCAAGCCCACCCCTACCTCCTGTGGTTTGCTGAGCAATGCTGCCTGCTTACACCCTCAGTCTGCTTCAGCAGCTCAGAAGGGAAACCATTCTTTGAAGGATTTTCCATTTCTTTGCTTTATCCTTTCCCACTTCCTTTTCCTCCTGCCCCTTCCACCCCCATGACTCATGCAATTTTGTTCCTTTATGCTTTTATATAATATTGCTATTCTGGCCCATTTGTAGCTCAAGTCCACTCCACTCTGAATTGCTTTTATAACAGAATCTCTTCTGTCTCCCCAGAAGTACCTCTCCTCAAGTTTGCCCACCACAAGGATTTTTTTTTGTAAGCTTAACACCACCATTCCATCACCCATCACCTTCTTCATTTCAACTACATCTGTTACTTCATCAGGAAATATCCCAAAACACAGTATGTGGGCTTCTAAAGATTTATCCTCTTTTCTGCTTCTTAAAATAGAGCAAAAAATTAGATAATTGGACATAGACAGCCTCTATTAATACATGCCCTTTATGCTGTTTTCCTTTCTCCTTAAACTCTATGGCTGTATTTGATTTTGCATCACCCTAAAAATTGAGGCAAAACCCATTCAGAGTGTATTGCTAAGTTTATTATAATGTTGAGTCTTTCATAACATTTGTCCTCGGGCTCAATCCAGGCCCATTGCAGGAGGTGCCTTTTCACAAATTCATATGAGTATTTGACCAGCTAGAAACAAAATGGATTTATTTGCTGTATGCCCAATGTGTCATACTTCATCCTGAAGATGTGGCATGAAGGTCAGGGAGGGGAAGAGGAGGAAAAGCCAGGAAATACTTGTAGACTTCATATTTGGTCAATACACAGAAAAAGAACAGCCAAGGCAGAAAGAGGGCAGTTTTTCCCACCTAACCAAGCCAAAGGGCTTGGGAGGAGTCCCGAGGGGAGGGTTTCTACCTAGCAGTGAGATGGCATTTTGACAAGTGGCACTCCATGAATAATTAGCTACTTCAGCAAGGAGTCTATGCTGAGCACTTGGAATATTTTCAG